ACTGTTTTTGCAATGTTGATCAAAACCAGCCACCAGCTGTTATTCAAAGCTCCACTGACTTGTTACATCCAAAGTCCCAGCTCCATGCAGTTCATGTATGCATTCATGAAGAGTTTTCTTAACACCAGATGGATGGATAGATACAACACAAGAATCCTAAAGAAATAAGAAACTAAAATGGTTAGTTAACATAGTTGAGTATGGCATAAATTAGCCTAATAATAAGTTCTCCTGCACCTCGAAATGATTTGTGCATAATGCTACCTCAAAGCTTTACGCCATCCACCTTTATATATATCCTCGAATTGTCCTTGATTTAGGGAATTGATCAAGGGAAGTTACTAGAGAAACTCAAAGAAAATCCATGTCCTGCAAAAATGAATTAAAGCTTAGCATTATCTTGATGAAATGATAGAGAATCACTGTGAACAACCGAGGGACGAGAAAGTGAACCCTACCTTACCAGAGAGGGCATTCTTTGGAGGGTAGAAGATTATAGCTGCAAGCCAGCAACTACGACAGATTTGTGAACACCACCATTTTTCATCAACTTGTTAGATCTTGAAGTTGCTTTCCAAGTCAGCCCATTCTTAGGTAAAGCAGCGGATAAAGCAGCAGTGTTTGTGCGGCAATCTTGGATGTGACTTAGGATGAATACAGAGGGAACACAGTACAGAGTTGGATCATTCATTTCTGACTCATCATCCTGGAAGCATCATCTCTCATATGAAAGGCAACATTAATGTCAAAGCATCCAGGACCTACTTGTTGAAGAAGTATCTTGCCTAAAAAGGGAGGCTTGAACTTGGAATCTTAGATCAACCTTTTAATTAATCCTATACTTGACTTGAAAAAGGTAAAGGGTTTAATCAGATGCTATAAGATTTAAAACATGAACTAAGTTGAACGTTGCACGGTAGTAAGGAAGCAATCACTATAATTATGGGAAATGTGAGATGAATAAGAAGATGGGAATGGAGGCAAGCTAGGGAACTCATGTGGGAGACTAACTCCTTGATATCTACCTGATCTCCGTGCATTGGAATCAAAATTAAGAAAAATGGTGATACAAATAGCTGGTAAAACAAATACCGGACAACAAAAATCAATTAGAATAGAAATGAGCAAGCACATGACATTTTTTGTATTAGCAAATGAAATATTAAACAGGGTACAAGCAGTACCCCTACAATTTAGAGTATGCTCATAACTTTTGGCACATAAAGGGAAAAAGGGAGTCACAAAACAAAGAGGTCCTACATAGGCCTAACAAGATTTTGCTTTGTGCTCTGCACAAGCAACTGGGAACATGAAAAAAAGGATGGGAAATTAGAAAAATCAAAGGCTAGACTGAAATTTGAGAAAATAATTCATTTAGAGTTTTAAGAAAACAAAAAGTATCAATTGTAACGTAGAAAGGAAAGATGGATAAGTGAATTGCTGAAATGAAATCAAAGTAAAATAATAACACAAAGCTATAGAAATCTATAAGTTCTGGAAAAAAAAAAAATTTTAATTGCAGAATATATGACAAAAATTTAGACAGTCTGTAATGCAACCAATATGTATTAATCAAGAGATGGAAGGAACGGGAAATAATAATTTAATTCTAAGGCACCTAACATCACAGATAGTAGAGGAATAGACTAGTATATCATCATCAAAATGTATAACTTTGCTCAAGTAAAATGAAGCATAGAGATAGCCTAACATATCAGTTTTGATTCCTTGTCCTAAACAATAAAAATAGCAAACCAAGTAGGCATCACAATACAATTTTGAAGAAGTAGTTTAGATACTTACAGGGTAAGTTCTGCTTTCCTGAATAAAAAACTTGTAAAATTGCAGCTTGATTTAGTCAAATTGAAAGCTTGCTTAATTCAACAAAGGTCATCCACATTCCAGTTCTAGCTTACAGAAAAACCTCATTTCAACATCAGCAACTCCTTGTTTAAAAAATCTTCCCAATTCTTCAGAATGGAAAACATTAGCTCCTGCAGTAATTGAATTTAAAATTGAAATTGGTTGGCTTGCCTAAGAACATCATTTTGCAAGTAGCGAGCTCCTTGGTGGTTGCGAATTTCCATAATGCCAAGGCCAACCACTCATCCCTTTTCAAAATAATCTGAAAGCGTAAGCCATTTTTGAGGCAACTGAATGCATGCATGTTTTCAGAGGAAAATAAATTTATGGTAGATAATAAATAGTAGATAATAATATAAAGTTGATTAATCCAGGGAATGAATGAAGTACCAGTCACATTGAGGAGTGGCTTGGCTTTGTTTAACTCAACAATTGGTTGTAGCTAGCTCACAACTAATAATCCTGCACAAAAAAAATGTGCAACACATATATATAAGAAAAGGCAGCAGAAGTCAAAGAAAAGTGTTATCTATTATAATTTTTCTAAATTCTCATATGAAAAGCATAAAATGGTGATGCCTATTTCAGTTCACACCAAACTCTTATTACCTCTAATATGAGAACGTTTGGGATGCTATATGTGAGAGTCCAATAGTCTCCTGTCTCCTCAAAGCGCTGTCGTTTTAGATGCGGACACCCGCTGATGCATAGTCGCCCAAGCGAGGGAGGGAAGGCTTCCCTCGGCAAAGATTGTAGCTTCGGGCAGTTCCATATCCATAACTCTTGAAGGGAGCTTAGGTTTTGGAAGAGCCCCCCAGGTATGGATTCCAAATTTTCTTCATCCCAAATCTGAAGAGAGGTTAAAGAAGAAGGCAGCACAATATCCTGAGGGAATTTTTGGTCAATTGTCAACCGTTGAAGAGACATCAAAGCCCCACCTGCGACTTCTAGATGCTGAAGCGATGTGAGCTGGTACATTGTATTCGGCAGCGGCTTAAGATTCTTACACCGCAATTTAAGCTCTGTTAAGTTTAGGGGCAAACCCCGATCTGGAATGAACTCGATGCCGGGGCACTTTTCCATCCATAGAATTTGAAGAGATTTCAGCTGGTACATCGTATTTGGGAGGGATTTCAAATTCATACAAACCAATATTTTCAAATCCTTCAGATTGGGGGTGTATAATCCCAACTCTTCTGGTAATGACCCTAAAGCTTCACAACAGTAAATAAATAATTCAACGAGATTGGTGACGCAATCAAAGGTGGGTAAACTTTTCAATATTCTACAGCCGGAAATACTAAGAGATTGGAGTCCCGTACAACGCTGCAGCATCCTTTCTGGAAATGATTCCAACCAGTCGCAGTATCTAACTCCAAATTTCTTGAGAAAAGCTGGTGGCTGATCACAATCCTCAGAAGAATACAAGCATGGAACATTTTCTATTTCCAAATGTAGATTGCTATTATTATTGCCACCATCAACATCCGGTAGAGACTCAAGACTTTCACAGCCTGCTATTTTCAAATGTTTAAGCGAGATGGGTAATTTGCCTCTTGGAAAAGACTTGAGAGAAGGACAATAATCAATTTCCAACCTTTCCAATCTCAACATCAACATACTACTGTTGCTACTACTGCTTTCATCCATCCTCATCATAATAGCATTGGGTAATGACTCCAAAGCTCCACATCTCTGAAGGGTAAGATGCTTAAGATTGAAAGGCAAGAGGTTTTGCTTTATTTCTGCCCCTTCCTCCCACAGACAAGTAAGATCCTCGCAACATTCAATATCCAGAGTCTCAAGTGTTGTCAAGGACTGTATAAAACTCTTTGGCAAGCAAGTCAATTCTGAAATTTTCTGAATTCTAAATTTAGTGAGTGAAGTGAGATCAACCATACTCTTCAAAAGCATCGGATGGCAGCTAACAACATCCAACTCTTTAAGTGAAGAAAGGTTGCTAGGTAATTGACCTAACAACTTAGGACAATGATGAATCACAAGCCTACGAAGACAAGGGAATTCACTTTCACTTCCATTTGGAGAAGTCCATTCCTCCCAATTGTCCATCCATCTAAACTCTAGTTCCTCCAGTGATGGAAAAGAGTCATGCCGCCCATAAAACTCAGGACCCACAGCTTCTATTGCGTTCATCCATTTAATAACCAATTTTTTAAGAACAGGTAGTCGGCCAAGTGATGGTAAAAAAGTGCATCCCATACAGTAGTTGAGCTCCATGGATGATAAATTCAAAAATAATAATGGATCACAGACCCAGTTTGGGAAACTCCTGCCAGCATAGCAAGAAATTTTGAGAATTTTCAAATTTGAATGAGGCTTTAACTGGCTGAGTACTAATTCCTGTTGATCATTAGTAGGAACAACCCATCGCCACTCGAAGACTAACTCTTCCAAACCATGGATCCTGCCTAGATTAGCCTCCACAGCATCTTGAACATGCGAAACATTTTCCAAATCTGTAATCGTTAGACTTCCTCGAAGTTGTGACAAGTTCTTCAAAGCAGATAATCTTATCATTCCACTTGCTTTCCCCACTATCAACGTAGACAGTGTTACAAGATTTTTAAGATTGCCTATTTCTGATGGCATCTCCTCTAAACTTAGCGTATCAGAGATATCAAGATGATGGAGACCAATTAGATTTCCAATCGTTGTAGGCAACTGAGTAAGCTCTCCACAACCTGATAATAACAATGTTTGCAAGAAGAGAAGAGAACCCACTGATTCAGGTAGACATTCAATTCTTGTTCCAGACAAATCAATGTACCGGATATGTTTCAACTTTTCAACAAAATCTGGTAGCTTACTTATTAGATAGCCACGAAGAGATAGCACTCTTAAGCGATTTAAAGCTAGCGGAAAACCATGCAAGATTCTGTTAGACAAATAGGGGTCGTTGTAGACATCGAGTGCTCTTAGTGACAAGAATGTTCTCAAATGCTTCAATTTATTCAAGACTGTGAATCTCTTCGGGAATTCATAAAAGTGTGGAGTGAATGACAAATGATGAACCTTCTCTAATTTTTCATCACCCATGCTACCTTCAAGATTGCAATATATCCCTTCAGCAATATCTGTAGCTAAATCGTTTATGAGATCATGCATCACAAACCGCGATTCAACTCTGCTTGACGGTTGAAAGAGTGATCTTAATAACAACTCTTGGAAATATTCATGACCAATGTCCTCTTCCATTTGCTTCTTTCCACCTGACTGTTGCTGCAATAGGCCCTCAGCCATCCATAATCGGACCAACTCCATTTTGTCAAATTCATAGTCGTTAGGGAACAAAGCACAATAAGCAAAGCATCGCTTCAAGTGAAAAGGAAGATCATTATAACTCAATCTTAGAACAGGAAAAATGTCACTTCTATCTTTTGATGAACTCCATATATTACTGTTATATATTTTTTCCCACTCATCATGACCCTGCTTTACCCGCAACACGCCACCGAGAGTTTTTAGTGCCAGTGGCAATCTTTTGCACCTCTCAACAAGCCTCTCACCAACATCTTGTAGGTTTGGGTGTGCAGCAAAGTCCTTTTCCCCTAGTGCATGTAGTGTAAATAATGGCAAACAAGCATTAACTTGTAACAATTCTAAATTGTAAACTCCATCATTTCCTCTCATCATTTTCCCAACATCCATATTTCGAGTCGTGACAATTATTTTACTTCCAAGAGCTCCTGACATGAAAGGTCTCTTCAATTTCTCCCAATTGCCATATTTCTTATCCCAAACATCATCCAATACAAGAAGAAATTTGCGCCTAGATAACTTCTCTTTCAATTTCTTCTGTAGTGAATCAAAATCATTAAGATCACACTTTTCCGTAGTTATCTGTTCTAAAATGGTTCTTGTTATTTGAGCAACATCAAACACATCAGAAACACAAACCCATGCCTTCAAATCAAACTTGCCATCCAATTTTTGATCATTGTAAATGAGCCGAGCAAGAGTTGTCTTGCCTAGTCCACCCATTCCAACAATGGGAATAACAAAGTCTTGTTCGAGATTGCCTCCATCTTCTAGCAACCTTTGAAGAATAGCATCTTTATCACTATCTCGACCCAACACCTTATCCTCAAGAAGTGAAGACTCAAGTAGTCTTTTTGCAATTACTTTGTGGGACCTATCTTCAACTTTCATATTCAAATTGAACAGGCCAAAAGTATGCATCTCCTTTTCAAAATGCTCCAATCTAACTTTCAGATCATTCACCATGGAATCAATCTTTTGATTGGGTTTGGCCTTAGATCTAAATAAATTCATGATATTGGAGGGGAATTTTTGTCGTTTGTTGGGTCTAGCATCAGGTTCTGCAGTCAATTCGGACCTCCTAGCATCAATCACAAACTCTTCAAGTATGTCCTCCATATCATAAGCCAAGTCCTTGAGATCATCAAGATATGACTTCACAAACATGTTGGCGCCTTGATTTTCTTCTGCATGTTGAAGTATAGCTGTGATTTTGGACAAT